CGGCAAGCTCTGCAAGTAGTTAATATCTGCACACAGCATGCGTAGAGAACGGTGGAGAGTGGGTGAGAAGATACCGCCAGTAAGGACTCCACTGACAAGTATTCCAGGCAGCAGCGCCAACTTCGGCACCGAGAAAAGCACGCGCTCGACGATGGAATGCCCAGCTGCAGTCGGGCGGCGACATGTCAAGAAACGCGCTGGAATTGGCTGGCTACTTCAAGCTACTTCGCTCAGTCGAACATTGGCTAGGTGCATCGCTTCGCACAATGCTGCCGATCTCGCCCGCGTAGGCATCAACCTCGAAGAAGGCGAGAAAGCAAGAGATCAGTGGAGAAAGAATATGACCAGGCGGCAGCTTGCATGAAAAGAGCCCTCCGATTGCATGGGCATCAGTTAAAGTCGATGTCTTGGCACCTGACTGTGAGGTTCGACGATGCCACTGCAGACAGCCTTGAAATGGTTGTGGCAATGGCCCACAGATGCCCAAAGTAAAGCGATCAACATGGGCATCATTCCCGCAAATCATGCACAAGCCCGGCACAAGCTTGTGCGAGGCCCGTTCGGGTCGGACACCTGCAATAGTCTGCGCCTCTGCCAAGATCCCATGCAAGGTTGAAGGCTCCCGCCATTGGGAACAAGCTTCCGACGCGAAGACCTGCACTTGCAGGGCGGGACTTCGCAGGTTGCGGAGACGTGCGAAGTTTAAAAGCCACACTGCGCTTCCGTCCTGTCTCCACCATGTTGGAAAAGCGGGCGAAGGTGAAGTCGCTCACGTTCTCTACGAGGATTCGCTGGAGCCTGGGCCGACGGATTGCTGCAAATTGTCTGTGCGGCACACGCTCAAGCGCCGGCAGGTACGGGATCGCAACGAAGGCCATGAACCAAACGGCCTCATGCTGTCTCATGCTGTGCCTGTACGTGCATCTTGCAGCAACAGATTCGTCAAATGCTTGGTGGCAGGCGTGTTTGACAAATGCGCTGCAAAGTGTTCTCTCGCCCTCGGCTTTGTGTAATTGCACTGTGACATCGGTCTGAGTCTCTGCGTCTCTGACTGGTACTGTGTGATCTGTGTTACATACATATACATATACATATACAAATATACATATATACACATATACATATACATATACATATACATATACATATACATATACATATATATATATATATTACAGAGACACATGCACATACGTAAGTAGGTGCATGCATACATAGATGCTTATCTACCTACCGGCATGGCTGCAGGAATGCCTACCCACCTACCTACCTACCTACCTACCTACCCAGCCACCCACCCACCCACCCACCCACCCCACTGGCTCAACCTCTACCTGCTTACACATATACATGCGTATATGCATGCATGCATCTATACATACACATAGCCCAATAGGCTATGCACGTCCTTGTTTACTGTATGTGTAGATGGAACAAGTTATGGTCAGACAGCGCACGTCATTGTTCATGTACCTGCACTCTGTATACAATGACAGATGTGCATGTACGTTACGTTGGTAGGATCTATGTAGGTCAGTACACATGGATCTTAAGCACAAGCAGAAGCCAGGATGCTGCAGCCCGACTCTTGTCCACGGTCAGCAGAACGTTTTTTCGAGCCTCCACATCTCAGCAAACACTGCACAATGCATCGCAGCTCATCTGTTGCAGATACCCTCTCAGGTGCCAATTCCCCAACCCCGACGTGTCCTGTGACTGTCGAAGCACATAGACACCAACGTACCCGAGAGCCACCTTCGCATCAAAGGTAGCAAACTACAAGCTGCGCAGCTCACAACTGGAACGGCACCTGCGATTGCATGGTTGTCACCAACAGCTCGGCAGAAGCCTTTCCTCAGGCGCAGCATGACACCAAGCAAACCGCCAGCAGCCTCATCAATCGCTCAAGGCAGGAAGCGCTCGCAATGTAAGGACACGGCGCAGTACTCCGGGTGGCAAGAACGGTTCTGCCGCCTTTCATGCGGGCATTTCTGAACCACGTACAAGATTCTGTGGCCCATCCAAGGCATGTACAATGAATGCTTCGTAGAGTTCCCGGACTGGGAGCAGGATTAGAGCAACCGCTGGAGCCTGCGGCCAGCAAACAGTGAAAACTTTTCAAAACATCCTTGCGCTGAGGCCGGAACACAGATGAAACCCACCAGGAAGCCTGCTGCCCTTGCACCTGCCAAACTAAAGTCACAGTAAGCACCGCGACGTTTCGAAGCTGCACGATGAGAGGTCAAATGTTGCTGGAGAGTTGCGGTTCAACTGTTCGTCTCCTGCGCCTCCCCCCTGTAATGACACACCCGACCGCAAAGAATTGACCGACGAGATTCTGCCCGCCTGCCATTAACCATGTCTGGGATCCCAAGTGCAGAGACAGCCTGATGGCGTGCAATTGGTTGCAACATTCTCATCCATTGACGATGGAAGTGCGCCTTGCAAAGACCCATGAGACGGCGACACCGGCCACCTCTGCGGGGATCGACATCGCACCGGCAAGGCATCCTCACAAGCCTGCTAAGGCCTTGGCCGCTTGCAGCAACTCGACGTGAAAGCCGGAGCCGAAGGCCTCAGAGTCTTAGACCCGACCATCAGTCGGAGCAGACCGCACACTACCCAGGTTCTGTGGATTGGGATCAGGCAAGTGAGACGGTTCCTGCAGCCGTTGACGCCGCTGCTACAGCTGCCGCCAGAGAGACGACGGCATTCCTGTGGCAGCTCTTCAATTCTGCGGTTCTGCCATGTTTGCCAGCATTGCGATGCTGCCAGCATTGCGATGTTCAGTGCGCGTAAGCTACAGTCCAAGCTCCGGCTGGTTTCAGCCTGGGCTGCCGGTTCTTCCTAACGCTACACTAGGCAGCAGGCCGCCCTGAACGCGCAGCATTTGGCCGCAGCTCGAAAGAAGGGCAAGGGCGATGCACCAAATTCTCGTGAGGTATAGCCACAGAAGCCACGGAACCACTGTCCATCGACGGAGGCAGCCGTGGCGCTGTATTCAAGCATGTGCACCGATTGAAATTCAAGTCGCAGAGGATTCACTGCGTTTTCATAGCAACGGTGGCGCAGGAGCTTTGCAAGCAACACAAACAGCACCGAGCTGAGCCGAGCCACGGGCCGTTTGTCACGCGAGAAACCCTGCCTTCCATCACGGGCCTTAACTACACAAGCTGCCAGGTCTGTACATTGGTGTGGCCAGATGGAGTGCACGTGGATGAGGTGTAGCATCGGTAGCCCGCATCCTTCCAAACGCTGATGAACTTGGTCGCCGAATTTTTCTCTCGGCACAGCGTCCAGGCTCTCTCCTTCCACGAGGCAAACTTGTCGGTGTCGAAGCCTTTCTCGCCGACAGAGCTGCTGGCAAGCTCCCAAGCCGTCGACATATAAACCAGCCCCTCATTGCAATGCCCTTGGCCATGGAATCCTCATGGGTTTGAGCAACCTGTACACACCGTCAGTGGGGGAAGGAGACGAACCTGACGTCCCTGCCTCCGGACAGAGATCGAGCGTGCAATAGCAATTGCCGCCGCCCCCACTGCCATAGTCATGAAAGTGAAAGTACTTCCCGTGGCAGTGTTGATTCTTAGCCGCCGCCACTGCGCAGGCATCCAGATTGGGGATTCCATGAGCTGGATTGCCCAGCCACCACCGCTTTTGGCAGTATGCGCCGCTTTTCGCGAGTTTATAGTGCTTCCTGGCGCAGAAGACCAATTCATCCTTATAGATGTGCGTCGGTTGGGTTTTATCGTAGAGCGTGCACACCTTGGCGTGATCCTTCGCATTGGGCGGGGCGTAGTTGAAGCTGACGCAGTCATTGTGGGTGTCGCAGCGATCTTTGCACTCTTTGATCGTGTCCACTTTCGCCCTCCCATCACAACTTTCGAGCCCGCACCCGTCAATGTCTGCGCCAAGGTAGCCCTGCTGCAAGTAGCCAGCTGGGCATGCAACCGACTCACCCAGTAGCACCAAGGCCTTGTGCCGGGCCGCTTGAAACTGGTTCCTCAGCGGCTGTTTGACGTTATCAATGGCGACATTGAAGAAGCTCCTCACTGCATAGTTGTTGCAGCACAAATTCCTTGCGTCACAGCCATCGTAGTTGCCATCAATTGTGCAGACGCCCCAGACGGTCTTCTCGTCAAGATTTGTGACCTTGTTGCTGTCTTTGACCTGGAACTTGCAGGCGCAGCAGCGCCACGGCCCCCACTCGTGATGTTGTGGCGACGCCTGCCGTGAGGAGCATTGAAGCGCTTGATGACGACTTTGTCAGCTTTCGACTTGTGCTGCCCCCAATCTTGGTAGGCACCTTTTTGCCACGCGGCCTTAAGCCTCCTGAAACCGTCCACCTTCTCTCTCATGTGTTGCTGCCTGCGGCGCGTGTACTCCATATGGCTGTCCACACAAACCATGTCCTTGTCGTCGCGTCGGGTCTCGACGGAGTGGATTTGACCCAAGCGATGCCCCAGGGCGTTGTCCACCATCCAGCGAGTCGTCTCCTTCGCGCGCTTCAGGGCGGTCCCACGGATCAGTGACTGCACTGATTTGCAATCATTTTGATCGTGTGTCGGAAGTGCATCGCAATCCAGGAGCTGGACTTGCAACATAGCAGGGGATATCGGCGTACTGCTCAAACCCACCGAAGTGCCCACTTAGTTCTCCCTCTCACCCCGACCTTGCTGCAACCACTTCTCGCAATCACTTTTGTAATCGTTGTCCTGCTTGGAGGTTGTGTCCCACAGCTGCCTCTGATAGCGATCGCAATGCCCGAAGGCGTCCAAATACTCTGACTCCAGCAGAAAATTCATCTTGCCAATGATCCAACCCGGATCCTGAGTAAGAGTGTCTTGGGAACCCAACGCAACCCTGAAGCGGAGAATGAATGCTGCTTAGAGTTTGAACACTATTTGCAATTTGCCGGCTGCATCCATGGATCTTTGCTGCTGCGGAGGTGGGTGTCGTACTTGTACATCAGGTTCTTCATCGTTTTAACTTGCTCTTTGAAGGCGTTGTTAGCAATTAGCCTTTTCGTGTCCTCCTGCACCGTAACCTGGAACTCCTCCAGCATCGCTTTGACGTCGTTCTCAGTCATGAAAGGGGGCGGTGGCTGCGAGCCCAGTACGAGATCCTTGAAAATGGTGATGCCGATGTCGACGAACGGCCCCACAAAAGGGGCTTTGGCCGCTATCGCGGCAACCCCCAGATCCAAAACGGTGGACAAAGCCGACTTGGCAAGCTCCTCACCAGAGTCTCCTTTGATGGCACCCACGACCAGGCTGCCAATCCCACCTGCAGCGATGTCCAATCGCATCACCCGCCTTGATCTCCTCCCAAACCTTCCTGTCCCTCGATTTCTGCTCGTCGTCCGGTGAGTCCGCTGGCCCGGATCGGTTATGGAGCGCTTGGAGCAGGTTGCTGGGATCGCTGTCAAGATTGCAGCTGGGGTCGGCTGCATCGTCCGGCGCGTCTGCACCCGGACATGCAACTGATGCAAGGAGCCCACAGAAGGCGAGGTGCATCGGGCGCATCGCGCAGCGGTGAATGGCGTGCGCCAACTGAAGCTGTGAGCGTCTGAGTCTGGACTTTCTGCGGCTTGGGCCCGAGCTGAAGACGAGGTACGACAAAGAGATAGGAGCAGCAGCTTTGAACAAAAGCAGCCAGAGAAAGAGGCAGGACTGCTGGACTGCGACTGTTGCGCTGCTGTTTGTTGCAGATGTGTTGCGATATGCTTGCGACAAAGTGCCAAGCCCAAAGGTAGCTAATCTGCTGGGAGGCCAACCTTGGAGCTCAAGCCACCCCCCCCGTCCCACCTCAGAGGCTGCACGACAACGTAGGAGAATACCTGCGCTCGTGACCCAGGCACATAGGAACTGAGGACACTCGGCTAACAGATGAACACAGCGGATTTTGGCTTGCAGAATTCTGGACAGTGCTGGGGTCCCAAATGCAACTTCCTAATGCCTTCACACGGCTATGCACGGCTTTGGGATCACCGCGGCGGACTGCTTGCAGCTGCTTCGAATGTCGGATCCTTCAAGTTGTATCCAGTCTCATCACATCTCCGGGCCCTTTCCGGAGTCCGGAGTCTTGCAGTCTTGCATCTGAGTCTGATTGCACCCTGAGTTCAAGCTGCGCCTGGACCTCTGCCACCGGCCAATCGCTTTCGGCCAGGCCGCACCGCACGGGGCGGAAGAACAAAGAGGTCTTTCAGGTGCCTATTTGCAGGAAGCTGCAGGCCGAGAGCTTGGTGGTGGCTTGTCGATCTGGAACAGGAACTGGTCAGAGTCGCAAAGACGGCAGAGACCACCACCAGCCGCGGAGCATCATCCTTTGACTCGTGTCAGTCTACCGTGTAGCAGCTGTTAGTCACATCGATTTCACATGAGCAACAGAATCCTGACCCAGCTGTCCTTGCGACAGATACCGTCACCCAAAGCGAAATACCAGACATCGCTGCCAAGCTCAGCGTCAGTCGCGGAGAGCCTCGACTTCAGCAAAGCACCCCATTCCACTTGTCTGTGGGAGCCCAGCTGGTCGCGAAGCTAAAGCCCCACCGGCAGGACGTCCGAACCTGATGCAAATTCGCATGGGCTTCAGAGATGCTGCAGCAAGACTGGAAACCTTGCTGAGGATCAAACCAAGAACCATGTCCAGGTGTCCAAGAATCCTTCCGAATTTGGCCCTTCGCTCACATCCCCCCATGCCCCATGCTCGTGTGGCTCGGCTTCCTCCTAACCAGGGCGGTGGAGAGCCTTCGGAGTCCGAGGCCTCGGAGGAAACGTGCCCACACAGGGGTCCGCTTTGCTCCCATCCCTGACTTTTCCTCGCCTGGACCTGGACAGTTTGCCTCCTCTCCTTTTCGGTGAAGTCCGCGAAAAGCTCGAAGACTGGCTGCCCGCCTCAGCAGGGTCACAGGATATGCTTTGAAAGCTTTCATTTGCCGGCAGTATACGTCACGCCCGCCTATCGTCAGCGGAAGCCAGCCATTCTGGCAACGTATCCAAGTGCCCACTCGTTCCTGCAAGCTCCAGACTGAAAACTGAAAACAGCGAAATACTTTGCTCTCTTCAGCGCGGTCCACGACGTCCACGACTTCTTGGAAGACGGGCCCCATAACCATCAGCTCACGATCCTGCCGGACCCTTCGGAGCCGCCGAAGCTATCCACTGCTGTGCATCCGGAAATCCTCCAAAGTCGGGCTTTTCCTGAAAGCCACACCCTGGCATCACGAAGGCATGGAAAAAACGAAGACGGTGCATGTTCTGAGCCTGGGAGGAGATGCAGCGTGCCCGTAGGATGCCATCCAGCAGCTGACAGTAAAGACTCTTTCAGTGTCAAACTCACCTCGAGTTTCTTGCCTCGAAGACATTGCAGCCATCCAGACGCATAGGAAGCCATCCTTTCGCGCATCGAGCCCACTGACCTGCAAAGCATAGTCCGTGTAAGCACAGCTGCGTCTATCCGAGATGGTGCATCGGCGCGCCTTGTATCATCTCGACAGGCACAATGTCGTCGTATGAAGGGCCTGCGTATCCACCTGGGAGGCAAGCCAAGCTGAGACTGCATTGTTGGGAGGCTGCGGATTTGGGAATGAGCCTTCACGATCTGTCACATTTGGTGACCTGTCTGCTCCAGTGGGTCCAGCAGCAAACAACTGCACCGCAGCCTGCCCTCAAGCCCCTGGCCTTCGATACGCCACACCCTGCCCGGCTCAAGCTTCATGCTTCAGTTGGTTTATGTTGGTACTCTGCAGGCTTGGCCGGCGAGTGGTTGAGCCTGGTGGCTCAGGCAGCGCAAGAGCTTCACTTCGTTCGATGCGAGGCTTCGTCCTC